AGACGACACTATAGACTAGAGTATAGACTAGACTATAGACTAAACAATAGACTGTACTATAGACTAAACTATAGACTAGACTATAGACTAGACTACAGACTATACTATAGACTACACTATATTACAGACTAGACTTTAGACTTAACTATAGACTAGACTATAGGCTGCACTCTATAAAGTAATAAATTTTCTATGCCTGTCACAAATTCTATAATTTTTAAGAATGTCGTATAATCAATACATGACTTTTGCTCAATTATAGAGAGTTGGCAATCCTTGCTTTCTTTTCACAAGTTAAAAATGGGAAACCCTTAGATCAAACTGACACCTGCACGAATGTAAACAAATAAAGTGAAAAATTTATAAACAAAAATTCTGCTTTTGGAAAAAAAATAGAAAAACAATGAATAACACTTCAAATAAACAATACAAAAAAGATCTGGGCATACGCATACGTCCGCCAGATAGTGAGCTACCATTTCCGGATATTAAGAAACCTCAACCCATAGGTTTTTATAGCATAAATGCTAACCGTGATTTTGAGCCTAATGATCAACAATTGCGTTACTTTAAATTGCCCAATGTGAACAAATTACCACTAGATCTAAATGCTGGTCTAGATATAGCCATAAAGAAACCAGAATCTGCTCATGAGGAAACTTTAGATAGTTTATTGAAATTCATTTACGATCACCATCATAGAATCTTTGGCCAAGCAAATGGGTGCACCACCACCGCCTCCGCCGGAGTTTGTTACATGGCGTGGTATACTGCGGCTCATAATGTGTACCCCATATGAATATCGTCAGGATTGGTGTTTTGCATGTTACACGTTTCAATAACACTTTCTATTTGTTGAAAAGAGAAACGTCTCAAGATAAATATCGCCGCAGCCAGGAGACGGAACAGCAGAAAACATTTATGGCTTATGGTTTTTAAATTTGAGCAGTATTGTTTATCGGAATCACCGTTTAAAGAACCGGACACCTCGGCACTGTTAATGAAAGTGAAGAATTTCGTTGGTCTTTCAGACACGTCTAGCTGGTCTAAGTCTGTTGTATGGTGCCGAAATGGATGGTATTATTAGTGATCAGCCAGTACAACTGTAAGTTAAGTGTATTTGCGCTAATGTTTGCTACTTAGAAATTCTTTTAAAAAATCTTACAAAAAAATCGAAAACTTTAATTTTTTCTTTCTTTTTTAGCAACTACGATAGACCCAATAATTTAGATACTCTAAAATATGTTGAACTGAAAGTGCGTCAAGGAAATTTAAATGCATTTCAATATAAATCATTTCTCCGGCACAAAACTCGCAACTGGTGGTGTCAATCGTTTTTAGTAGGCGTCCAGGATTTATATGTAGGCATGAGAAATGAAAAAGGTTTCGTACACGATATCGAACGTATGGAAATGAGATCTTTACCTAAATTAGGAGGGGTAATTATATTTCATGTAATTATAATACTAATATTAACAAGTTTTCTTTTGTTTTTCTTTAGCAAACTCACTGGGCTCCCTGGGTATGTGCTAACTTCCTGCTACAGTTCCTTTTACGTCTACGCTCAATAATGTCTAATGAGAATTGTCCCCATACCGTATATGAGTTTTATTTTAATGCCGAAACTGGTCGTATAACATTTGAATGCTTTAGAGGTAAAACACCACATTCTTTTATACCAGATTGGTATATAAATCTGATAAATCGGTTAGCAAGAAATACAAATTTACATTATTAATTAAATAATATAAATTTATATTATAGGCTATTGAATGTAATGATTTTTTTTCTTTTTCATATTGAATATATATTTTTGGGACAATTATTGATATGCTTAATAAAAATAATGTTTTATAAGAAAATAATGCAATTTATTTTATTTAAATAGAGCTAAACTGAGAATAACATATTTGCGCTTTATTTATAAAAAAAAAAGTCCAATTAGAATGAAGATTTTAAAATTTTTTGATAAATTATTTGTTTATAACATAAATTTCTTTAAGTGTATTTTCTTATTGTTTACATTTGAAACATATGGACAAACTATTTTTAAACCTGGCCGCTCATAAGTTTAAAAAGACAACGTCGTCGTACATTATTAATATTAAATGTCTGCTGCAAATAGCCTCTTTGTTTTATGCACATCTTTTAGTAAATTAAATTATATTTTTTTCAAATCCAAAAACATTTTTTAAGCCAATATAAAAACCGTCACTCATAATTAGCTAACGCCGTTGGGAAATTTTTACGACTTACTTTTCTACTCAGCAAAACAATACAACCCTGCCATATTAAATGTCATTTCTATTTTCAATTTCCTTTCCCCATCATTTTTTCTCAAAGTTTCGCTTTTTGACTCGTTATTCGTTTCATTGTTATTTTTTTATGTCTGTTTCGGGACGCGTTGTCAAAGTGAAATCTACTAGTTTTGCGCTGTTTATTTATTGTGTGTGTGGAAAAATAATTTGTTTTAAAGATCAAACATCTTGCAAATTTATTTGCTTATAATTTTTACCAAAAAAACACAACGTAATAGAATTTATTTGGTATCAGGAGAACAAAAACAACAAATCTACCACTGACGACTTTTCCAAAGTCAGACGCGTGTATAGAAATAGGCGTTTTCCTCTATTGAAAAATTGTAGAAAAAAATATTCATTAGAAATAGCGAACAAAATAAAAGAAACAAATAAAAAAAAATTATAATAAATTAGTAAAAATAAATACGCAATAAAAATAAAAAACAACAAATATTTGTGCAAACCTAAAGAAAGAAAGATTGATAAATATAATAACATAATAAAGTAGTATAGTGTGAAAAAAAATAACAAACAAAAAAATTAAGAGCAATAAGCATAATTTTCTTTGTACGTTGCATAAATAAATAAATGCATCATCGTCGTCGCAATGTCCACAACAACCGAAGTGACGCAGAAGGATTTGCACGATTTGTTAGAAATTTTCGAAAGAAAATCATTCGAGGCTGGCTCATGTGAGGAAGGCACACAGGTAAGTTGTAACTGTAAAGTGGAGGCGGCGTTATTACGGTAAATTTTGTCCAGTGAACAAAACATCACTCGAGGGATTGTTCAAAAAAAAGGAAAAAAGTATACAATTGTTATTTTACGAAACGAGTTATCCTATTTTAGGCATCTTTTTTTATGTGCCCTTTCATGTCTATGAAGTTCGGTTAGAAATCGTAAATTCAACAAACCATTCTCTTATGTTTATTTATATCGGACCAATAATGCAATAAAATGCTTTTTAATTATATTATTGTTTAAATATTATTATTTTTTATGCTGCTACTAATCTGCGTCTCATTAATTGCTCATTGAACATTACTTCCGCGTTTAATTATTAACAAGGGAAACAAGTAAACAAATGTATAGGCGGCAATCCCGAATTAATGTTAGCCTATAACGTAAAGATCTGACTAATCTTAGGCAATAGTTTAAAGTCTTGATTATGGAGCTGTATGTCCTAACTATTAAGCAGTCTATAGTCTGAACTATGGACCAATCTATAGTCTGGTCTATCGACCTATCTATAGTCTGTTTTATGGACCAATCAATAGACTAGTCTATAGAGAAGTCTAAGTCTATATAGAGTAGTCTATAGTCTTGAGTATAAAGTTGAGTCTACAGTCTTTACTATAAAGAAGTCTACAATCCTGACTACAGAGTAGTCCATAGCATTGACTATAGAGTAGTCTATAGTCTTGACTATACAGTAGTCTTTAGTCTTGACTATAGAGTAGTCTATAGTCTTGACTATAGTGTAGTCTATACTATAGAGTAGTCTATAGTCTTGACTATAGTGTAGTCTATAGTCTTCACTATAGTGTAGTCTATAGTCTTCACTATATATATAGTCTTGACTATAGAGTAGTCTATAGTCTTGACTATAGAGTTGTCTATAGTCTTGACTATAGAGTAGTCTATAGTCTTGACTATAGAGTAGTCTATAGTCTTGACTATAGAGTAGTCTATAGTCTTGACTATAGAGTAGTCTATAGTCTTGACTATAGAGTAGTCTATAGTCTTGACTATAGAGTAGTCTATAGTCTTGACTATAGAGTAGTCTATAGTCTTGACTATAGAGTAGTCTATAGTCTTGACTATAGAGTAGTCTATAGTCTTGACTATAGAGTAGTCTATAGTCTTGACTATAGAGTAGTCTATAGTCTTGACTATAGAGTAGTCTATAGTCTTGACTATAGAGTAGTCTATAGTCTTGACTATAGAGAAGTCTATAGTCTTGACTATAGAGAAGTCTATAGTTTTGACTATAGAGTAGTCTACAGTCTTGACTATAGAGTAGTCTATAGTCCTGACTGTGAAGTAGTCCATAGTCTTGACTATAGAGTGTTCCATAGTCTTGACTATAGACTACTCTATAGTCAAGACTATAGACTACTCTATAGTCAAGACTATAGACTACTCTATAGTCAAGACTATAGACTACTCTATAGTCAAGACTATATATATAGTGAAGACTATAGACTACACTATAGTGAAGACTATAGGCTATGGAACGTCTTGACTATAGAGTAGTCCATAGTCTTGACTGTAGAGCAGTCCATAGTCTTGACTGTAGAGCAGTCTATAGTCTTTACTATAGGGTAGTCTATAGTTTAGACTATGGAGTAGTCTATAGACTTGTCAATATAGTAGTATATAGTCTTGACTATAGATCAGACTATATTCATCATTGTAGATCAGTCTACAGTCTTGACTATAAACCAATCTATAATCTTGACTAAAAAGCTTTAAAATATTTGACATGGAAACAGCAATTTTTCTGAAAATTTCAAACTTTTAAGAAAAAACAATTTATCAATCTTATAGCTAGCAAGAAATAATACTGTAACAGTTCTATTACTTTTTTTTAAACAAATAACTTTCAAACAATATTGTCGTTACATTGTTGCTCTATACGTACAAAAGAAAAACACTTGCTGTTGTTGTTACAATTTTCATGGTATTTTGTAAAATAAAAAAAATTCAATTGTAAAGATAAGCAAACAGCCCAACAGCAACAACAAAATATTAAAAATAAACGTATTAAACAAACATGAACTATTGATAGTGAGGAACTAAGCATGAATAGAGACAGACAGACGGATGGACAGACGGACGGACAAGAACGGAGCTTCTCTAGAAACAAGCTTTTCATATTGAAAAGAAAATACAGTTGTCAACAAGTTCCTTTAAACATTCTTTTTGATTTTTATATTTATTTTTCTATAAATACATTAGATTTTTATACCCTATATGAGTATTGTGCTAAGGGTATTAATGTCATTAAGCTGATGTTAGTAAGACAGGGAGATATTGGTCTTTGCAGCCCTCTTGAATCACATTTTGACTCGTTTCCAAACCTGCTACTCAAATTGCAAATTTTTAAAGCTATTAACAAAAATATGTTTTAAATAGGAACTTTTGTTCTTAGGACGAAACTTCTTGAAATTCAGCCAATTTTTCCACATATGCAAGATAGAAAACTATATTATAAAATTCTTGTTATATGATCATTTTATAATTGACCATAGCTCCCTCATGGGACTTATCTTAATTTTATATTTATTTTTGTAGGGTCTTAGATAGTTTGTCTATATGCTGACAATATTTTTTCACTTGTTTTTTATTAAAAGCTTTTTTTAATATTTCAAGGTGCAAAATGTCAGGTGTTAATTGTAAATTACAACATTCATTTTTTTTATTTCTTATTTAAAGCTTTTTAAGCTTGAACACTTGTTTAAAACATATGCATGGCGCTTATTTTTATAGATTCTAACTAAAAATGCTGAACAGATCTGTTTCTATTTTTAACTGGAAATTTAAAAATTATATTTAACCAATTTCGATGTTTCAAAATAGCTTAATATGAGACTGCAAAGCGCTTAGTTGGAGAAAAGAGCTTCTGTTGCAAATGTTCTCTATTGAAAACTATTTCCTTCAAAATTTAAATGTTATTAAAAATTTCTATAAAAAAATCATTTTTCGAAAAATTTTCTTAAGACATATTCTGTTTAAGGTACTTCAGACTAAAGATCACTCTATAGTCTTCACTATCGAAAAGTGTACAATCTTGACCATAGTTTTGCTTATAGTCCAGACCAGTGTTTAGTTCTATATGACCATAGAACAGTCTGAAGTCTTGACTATAGAACAGTCTGTAGTCTTGACTATAGAACAGTCTGTAGTCTTGACTATAGAACAGTCTGTAGACTTGACTATAGAACTGTCTGTAGTCTTGACTATAGAACAGTCTGTAGTCTTGACTATAGAACAGTCTGTAGTCTTGACTATAGAACAGTCTGTAGTCTTGACTATAGAACAGTCTGTAGTCTTGAATATAGAACAGTCTGTAGTCTTGAATATAGAACAGTCTGTAATCTTGACTATAGAACAGTCTGTAGTCTTGACTATAGAACAGTCTGTAGTCTTGAATATAGAACAGTCTGTAGTCTTGACTATAGAAGATTATGTAGTCTTGACTATAGAACAGTCTGTAGTCTTGACTATAGAACAGTCTGTATTTTTGACTATAGAACAGTCTGTAGTCTTGACTATAGGGTAAACTATAGTCTTGACTATAGAATAGTCTATAGTCTTGACTATAGAACAGTCTGTAGTCATGACTATAGAACAGTCTGTAGTCTTGACTATAGACCAGCCTGTAGTCTTGACTATAGAACAGCCTGTAGTCTTGACTATAGAACAGTCTGTAGTCTTGACTATAGAACAGTCTGTAGTCTTGACTATAGAACAGTCTGTAGTCTTGACTATAGAACAGTCTGTAGTCTTGACTATAGAACAGTCTGTAGTCTTGAC